TGCAATCGGTGAGAAAGTCTGCGCAACCTACGACGAAGGGGTAAGGGTAGGAAAACCTCATCCCCGACATTAATTCTTTTCTTACGGGGGACAAAACGAGAAATAAGCGGATCCAAAATTTCGTACAGTCTTACAGTGCAAACATTTACATCCGAAATAAGGAAGAAATCAGTCCAGTCGTAGGAATTAAGGTGTGTTAATAATTCGGTTGAGCGAGTTGATTGGAAATCGTGGAAAAAGTGATACTTTGGGGACAACGTTTTGTCAGCCTCGAATTCCAACGTTGAAACAACTATGTCATGGTATGAGCCCCCCAGTGGGCCTAGGGATGAAATTGACGATGGCATGCAGCCTCTACAGAAAATTAGGTCAAGTATGCTTGAGCCTCGGGTGGGAAAATCGACAACCTGATTCCACATCCCAACATCTGCAGCCTCAAGAAAGTCTTCGAACCTTCTTGGGCGTGAAGGCGGAGACCAGCGGACTTCGGGAAGGTTAAAGTCACCCGCAACCAATTGATACTTAAAGCTTGAGTCGGCCGCAGCATGAAATGCCTGTGAGAGTAAACGATTGAAATTTTTGTTGGCGTTGAGAGGGCCATAGGCACAGCCAACGAGTAAAGAAAACTTATTTTTTAGGGCAACCAGGATCCAGCAGCTGCCTTCTACTGCGGAAAAATGCGGGAGGTCCAACGGCAAAAATGTAAGTGTTTGCTTTACGTAGACGCAGCTGCCCCCATCACGGCTATCTTGGCGATCATTTCGAATGCAATTATAGCCTAGAAGCGAGAGTTAGGAGTCAGCTACTGAGGCTGATGCCCACGTCTCAGTTACTAAAACAATATCTGGACAATGGACGAATACCAGATTCTGTAGCAAAGGCATCTTATTAAGCAATGATCTGGCATTTAAAACAACAAGTTTGAAGGGAAAGGCTGTTAGTTTCTGAGGGAGGTGGGCTACATCGTCCAGTTCTGGGCTACCCACGGAGCAAACGGTCCGGATGCAACCATCCGGTTCTGCAAAAAATTTTGTGGCATCGAAAAATTCTGACGTGGATAAAAAGGGGTAGGACTTGGGGTAGGGAATGACGGGCAGTTGAACTGGTAACCACTGTTGGCTAACTTATTTTCAGCTGAAAATCCGCGGGGCAGATTCTGCAACACATTCCAGTCGGAACGAAACTGAGGATTGGACGAGTTAACTGATCCTGTATGGACATTATCATTATTCTCATGTCTACATCATTTCCCCTGTTTTTTTGTTTTCCTGCAACTTTTCGGAACTCTCCGCTAGCCGAAAACGTCTCCACACCTTATTTTTATTCTTCAAGTTGTCTGATAGTTCCCCGTTTATCTATATGAGACGACTGTTTGTTTTCGTCCGTCTACTTGAACAGTTTGCATCACGGATTGTCTTGAGCAACGAGCTGGACGTACTACAGTAATCGTAAACTTTTTCCTGCAGGGTGGTTGTGCACTCTATTACTGAGACTGGCGCTTGCACGCTGAAAAAGTCTTCTTTCTAGATATTTGTTTCCGATTGTTTAGGTGAGTCAGGTTGGCAGAACACGGAGTACTTGAAGAGCATTACGGTATGACTGCTAGCATCAAATAGTGGGAGATCTTGCACATCAAACACACATTATCGAGATCCAGAAAATTCGAACGCTGGCCCTCTTCAACACGCTTTCCGGGAGTTGCCCTCTGGAAAAGTTTTTATTCACTGCCATTTCGAGAAAATGATGTCTGAATGTATCCAGTAGACTCAAACCCATCCAAGCTTCCCAGATGATGTTGGGTGCTTTAAATTCCCCAACAATAAGGCCATCTCTGTTCGAGCAGGTCTTGTTCAGCCCTATTAGGGGAAAACTATTGTGGTCGACAGTCTGGGTTGGGAGACGGTACGGAACTGCAAGCTCCAGTGGACGGGTGTATTTCTGGCAATAAGTGGAGAAAAACTTCGACTTTCGCTGTTGTTAGGACAGTCAGTATGGGTTAATATATTTTATGTGTAATAGGCAATGCCTTTGAGGAGCCTATTTAAAGCGATGCATATAATATTAAAGTTTAATCAAACACGCTACTAACTTATTGTCAATAATATAGGAATTTTACGTAACATTTTCACTAGAATGCAGGACTGAGACTCGAGAACACTCACTTGTAGGTGGAGGCGGTAAAATTAAATGAAAATCGTCCGCATTAGCGTTAGGTGCATGCACGGCGCTGGTTTGATATAGCAAAACTGTTCTTTTCAGATAAGCGGTATTTTTAAGCGGATACACATCTAGCCCTCGTTCAAATGTCTCCATGGAATTAGTCATTATTTTGTCCTCGGGTAGGCCGTCCCACACACCGACAACTCGCTGTAAAAAAAAAGTATTTGCGAACGTCCTGGCAACATCAGGATCCTCGAAGATTAAGAGAGTTCCCACGTAGGTTTGTTGTTATGGCCAGGGTGAAGAAATCGACGAGATTTAGGACACAGTCCCGGTTCCTCAATATCTGATACGCCTGTATGAGATCTCCTCGAATCTGCCAGTACACAAGAGGAAAGAGCTTAAGCTCATCAATTCTGCAGTTGTAAGGTAGATCTTAGAGGCCTTTCACAATATTGGTCGCTCTCCTCTGAACTCTTTTCATCAACTTATAGTCTTTTTTCAGCCACGGACGCCACACTTGGGTTCCATATTCCACATTCGAACGAATAAACGGTCTGTTTGTCTATATCTATGAAAGTTGGCTTAATGACCATGAGAACACCGTTTGCCCTTTTGGCCTCCCTAACGCATTATGAGGAAGACTTAAGAGTCGACAAAATGTTGATCCTAAGATATTTTTGTTCGACCACATTTGAAAAGCACTTTCCGCCAAGAAGGTAATGGTGATCCTTTCCGTCGGCTCTTCCATTCGCTTTGAGTCGGTGTGCGGCACACTTCTCAAGGTAAAACTTTAGCAGCCATTTGTCAACCATTTGCATAAGCGGTTCAGTTCTTCTTGCATGGTCCGTTCACCATTTTTCCCGTTGATCGCTCGCCATAACTTGATGCCATAACCAAACATGGCTCCAGTGGGGTCCAGTTCATCCATACAAGCGTTGACATAAATTTAAAACAGTACTGATTCGAGCGCAGAGCCCTTGGGAACTTCACTCACAAGTAGCGCTTAACTTGTCTTCGCACTGTCAAAACGCACTGACTGTGCTCGGCCGGTCAGAAAGTCCTTTGCCCAGTTGAATAGGTTCCCCCTTATCCCTGACCCTCGGACCTTGTAAAGTAACCGGTGGTGTGGAACACTAGTGAAGGCGTTCTTGAAATCGATGTAAACGATATCGACCCTTGGTTCTTCGTCCAACGAGCGGGATCACTGTTCCATTGCATAGAGCATATTGATTAAGCAGGAGTAAACACCGCCGAAAAACTTCCACCCCCACATATCTCACAACTAGCCCATACATTGTGCACGAATCCTTCCCACATTATCTACCAAAGGATCGTAACAGGCACCTCTTAACTAAATAGAAAGCGCGCTCTCTGGCTGCTCGTCATTGTAGCGTCCATCTTATTCTTTCTCATCGGATATCTGAGCCTTCCACCCCCTGTGCGAAAACCTGGTATGTTGTACGGGAGTAAGTTGTGCGTGGAATGCGCAGACGAAGTGGTTAGCTCTGTCAGTCACATGCGCCCACTCTACTCAACAAATGACAGTTCGGCTCGGCCAGTGTACTGGTGCCTATGAAAGGGAAACGAGAGTGAGACCGGCACTGGGGGTTCCATATGCGAAGCACTCAGGGCATATTCCTCATTATAATAATTTTGAAGCGCATTTGAGCCTTCGCGATCCGCTAAAATCCGGGTTCAGATGGCTTCCAACTGACGGCATAACTTGGTCCTCCTCTCAGGACGGACAGTCAGCCTTCAATAGCACATCCTGAATGTGACCTCTAAGGTACTCTCTTTAAATTGCGGTCTGAGCCACCCTTATTTGTTTCTGTGAATCCCTGGTGCATCGTGAGCTGACCAGACGTAAGTAACACACGCAAACTGGCTGTTAGGTTTTGTCAACCACTGCCCCCGGTCTTCTTGACTCTGATCTGACACCGGGCCCAAGTGAGTGAGGGAGAACGGGGTGCGTTCGATGCAGCGCAAGTCTTCGGTAGGTATACAGTGATGTACATACAAGTCGCTGTCCCTGCACTAATCATGATGCAGGGCACACAGTCTAAATCGTCGTTCGCGACGGTCGACCTGCTAAAGGATGAGGAGTTCCTGTCGACTTTTACACAGCATTTTGTCTGTTTGACTTGTGGCATTTATTTTATGCTTGCGCTCTTGTCTTTTCAGTATATTTTAAAATGTCTCTTGGACAGTTCTTCGATTATTGAAGCCTTTTTGTCACCATGTGCCCTCTGGTTACTTTGCCATCCTTCTGAACAGTTTTTGGGCTGACTGCACTTCACTCTTCACTCTACTGCCTGCACCGTCGATAGCTTTTGCTTTAACTCCACCTTTGTGTTCTAAGGCTTAGTTCTGGTTTTGCACTGATATCGTTTCAACACATAAAGGCACAAAAGTATCCAGGAATCGGCGCAGTCTGCGAATAATTAACCGACTTGACTGAAATTTCGGAAAATCTGAAATAAAAGATATCTCGTACATATCCACACTAAGCCAGTACCCGGATTCTGCTTACGAGCGTGACTATAAGGAAATGAAATTAAACATTATAATCGCGAGAAGTGAATATTTAGAGTGACTCTCTACACCCACGAAGATCTCATAGTGACCGTGCTGACCAGAATATTCGCGGCACGAAAAGTGTTTGAAGGAGGCAGTTTCCCGCACTCTGCCCTGCTGTCAACATTATGAGCGTGAAGATTATTAAGCATTCTACTTAAGGCATTTTTGTGTTTGAGTTGTGCATTCTTCGATTATAGCTTTGGCGAGCAGTTTGTTTAACCGCGTCGAACGTTCCAGTAATAGCGTGATTGCCGCCCGTCATGCTGCGCCTAGCCGCCCGCCGACTCCCGTCTCTTTGCCTTCCCATCGCTCGGGGTTTTGCAAAGGATGTTAAGTTCGGAGCAGACGCTCGCTCCGCCATGCTTGTTGGTGTTGACATCCTTGCTGATGCAGTAGCTACAACCATGGGGCCGAAGGGCAGGAACGTGATTTTAGAGAGTACCTGGCGTTCTCCTAAAATCACAAAGGATGGCGTTACTGTGGCCAAGGGAATTGAATTAAAGGACAAGTTCCAAAATATTGGCGCAAAACTGGTTCAGGACGTCGCGAATAACACGAACGAGGAGGCAGGGGATGGTACTACCACTGCTACTATCCTCGCCCGAGCTATCGCAAAGGAGGGCTTTGAGAAAATCAGCAAGGGCACTAACCCAATCGAGTTCCGACGTGGAGTCATGGTTGCTGTTGATGCCGCTGTGAAGCATCTAAAAGAAATGTCGAAGCCCGTGACAACGCCCGAGGAAGTGTGCCAGGTTGCGACTATTTCTGCAAACGGCGAGAAAACTATCGGTGAGCTCATCTCTACTGCGATGAAGAAGGTGGGAAATGATGGGACCATCACGGTTAAGGTAAGGTAAATTAAAGGAATTAACGGTTTAAGGATGGGAAAACTCTTAACGACGAGGTTGAATTCATTGAAGGGATGAAGTTCGACCGCGGCTACATATCACCTTACTTTATCAACACCGACAAGGGTGCTCGGTGTGAGTACCAGGATGCATACGTTCTCTTCAGCGAAAAGAAAATCAACAACATCCAGACCCTAATTCCCGTCCTGGAGTTGGTTCACCAGCAAAAACGCCCTTTGGTAATTATCGCTGAGGATGTGGAGGGTGAAGCCCTTACCGCGCTCGTGTTGAACCGCCTGAAGCTTGGTCTGCAGGTTTGTGCCGTCAAGTCCCCGGGATTTGGTGAGAACCGCAAGAATACTCTCCGCGATATGGCCATTGCCGCTGGTGGAGTCGTAAGTTGCTCCCTTGTACCCGTTTGATTTCCATGCAGTTGTCTAATTGTCCCTGTCGCTTTCCCCACCGAATTATTGGTTCAACGCCATATCATGTTTTTGTCGCTTTGTGTATATTTACTAACTGTACTCAAATTGCCTCGGTTTAACCCTTCTCACGTACAGGTGTTCGGAGACGAGGCTGACATGTTCAAATTGGAAGATGCGCAGCTACATGATCTCGGCCGGGTCGCAGAAGTAATCGTCACGAAGGACGACTGCCTACTTATGCGTGGTCACGGCAAAAAAGAGGACATTGACCGGCGAGTCTCCCAACTTAAGGAAGAGATAAAGGCTAGCACAAGCGACTATGAGAAGGAGAAGATGCAGGAAAGACTGGCAAAACTTTCGAACGGTGTCGCAGTTATCAAAGTCGGTGGGAGTAGTGAAGTTGAGGTGTCGGAGAAAAAAGACCGCTATACTGACGCGTTGAACTCCACTCGTGCCGCAGTTGAAGAAGGAATCGTACCGGGGGGTGGGACGGCTCTCCTGAGGTGTATCCCAGTGCTTCAAAAACTTCAGACGAAGAATAACGACCAGAAAATCGGTGAGAATCAGCTGCCTTCCATTTCCATTTTTTACTCGAGAGATATGCCCCTAAGGCCCCTATTTCTTTTTAGGTGTCGACATCGTCATAAAAGCTCTGATGACCCCGGCCTTCACCATCGCCTCTAATGCAGGGGTTAATGGCTCGCTCGTCGTGGAGAAGGTGATGTCCTTACCTTTCGCGGAGGGCTACGATGCCTCGAGTGACAAGTACTGTGATCTGATTGCTTCTGGCATAATTGACCCTACAAAGGTCGTCAGGTCGGCCCTTGTTGCAGCTGCTGGTGTTGCTTCCTTGCTGACTACCGCCGAGGCTGTCGTCGTAGAACTGCCGAAAGAAGAACCACAGGCTGCGCCTGGCATGGGTGGTATGGGCGGAATGGGGGGAATGGGTGGCGGCATGGGAATGATGTAGTCCGCCCGCTGAGCGCAAATTCCCGAAAGCCACTTTTTTGTACATTAAGTTTTGGCGCATTCTAGTTGTACAAATAGCTTTTTATCTACACCCGGTCTTTCTTTTTACAGACATTGCACTTGAAGTAAACCCTCAAGGGCGGGGGGCATGGGGGTAACTCATCTTCCTATCCAGGGTTTCCCTTGGGCCGGAGGAGGGCCGACTTGATCGTATCTGGTTGGTGGCTCCGATGAACTGGATATTAATAGCTTAGAAGGAAAGTTGGCCCTTTGCGAGGGAGCTAAATGCTGTCGCTGGACCGGGCGCTTAACAGGGACAGGCGGCCGTTGATGTTAAGGTTCTGCCTAGCTGCTACCACGCAGATGTCCCCACGCGTATGTCGGCGTCGACATACCGAGCGGCGGGTGCTGTTTTAACGGCAGTTTCTGCATATCCTTCATCTGAACAAGCCCTTACGAGAGGAATGTGCTGGCCTGGGCGGTGTTTCAACTTCCGGGATGTTAGTCAGCTCGCCGGGTGCCGGGATTGGTCTGTCAGGAGGGCGAAATGCGGTATGTTTGGGCTCTTTTATAAGTAGGTCAGCATCAGGGTCAGAGACGTGCCGCACTACTCGACCGCTTAAGAAAAGGCCCAACTGAAGGCAGTCTGCTCATGGCATCCTAGTAGATTGTGATGGTTGCTTAAAGACCCCTTAAGTTCGCTGCCGGACCCAAGGAACAGCTGTTTATGCGATATTACGCTTAAAACGCTTGAAATAGGCCATGGTCTCAGACCGTGAGGAGCTCATCGACTTCACCACGGCCAGCGTGTCCCTGGATCACCTCTGCTTTGAGTGCCAGCCGGTTGCTCTGAATGAGCTGCGCCATGTCGCCCATGTAAGTCTCTTGGCTGGTCCCTTTAGGAGGGAAGGGAGGCAATTCAGGGTTTCGTAGTCTTCGGGCTAGTCTAGGTGTTTGTGCCACGCAGAACCAGGGACCCGCATGGCAGTGTCTCGCGGTCTGTCCTGCTTGTCACCGACTTCGGTGCTTTTTACCTTGGAGTTGTGCGCAGGGATGAAGTTGCAGTGTGATACTCGAGGTAACCAGCACTGGGGAACGCCAACCTCGCCTTCTGACTACTGTTTAGTTCGGCAGATGCAAGTCGCGCGTCCTCTTGCTGCATGGAGGAAGTTGGTGGTGGGGAGGGTTCTTCTCTGTACGGGTCTCCACCGAGACAAATCTGCTGCCGTTGTCCACACCCGATTATCAGGCACTCCTATGGATGTGTGGTCCGTGCCTACCAGTCACCAATAGTAATTTGCCCGCCACCAGCGTTGACACGGATCGCCTGTAGGCGTTCACGGGGCATATACTTTACACTTCTTCTGGGCCAGACCTTTCTAGGTGTGGCAGTGCTCTTCTTGTATCGAGTCGGTTCACGAGCAACCAAAGCTGCCCTGCTTCTTGGTTGGGTGACTATTGACTTATCAAAGAGGACGAGCATTCCAGATTGCCAACTCTAACAGTGATGGAGAAGAGGGCAGAAAGCGAGTCCTGCTTCTGTTTAATTTTTTTCCGACCGCATATACAGCAGTCACAGCTGACTGTGGGGGCGTCGTGGGCATTGCATTTTGTTGGGCACATTTACCAATGTCTTGCCCCATTAGGGGTAAGCAGTGCTGCCGCAAATTGCCACTCCTGCGCATCCACCATGGTCTACAGTCGTTTCAGTGGGCGCGCGACATTCAGTAGCCTAGGTTGCCTACAGGACTGCCGACACTCAACTGGAACTGAGTGTTACAATTAGGAGGTTGCGGCTAACTTTACATAAAGATCCTGTCTGAAGTGTACAACACGTGGTGGGATCTCATCCAAGTGAAGGTCGCCCAAAAGCGATCGAAGATCGACATTCAGTCCTGAGACAGGATCAGCATGTCAGTCTGCAGTATTCCGACCCACGACCTTTATCGCGTCGTGGTAGTTTAAATGAGCGTCATGTTTAATATAGCAAAGAAGGCGCTGGGTTGACCCCGCTCTCCCCTGCCCGTTATCCAATGCAAGTCCCGGCCTGACCGACTAGGGTTTGGGCTGGAATGGCAGATTTAAAATAAAGCACGGGTTTACGTGTGCCGGAGACGAAACCGACTCCTATTGAGCCAGACTACATACAGATTTCCCGAGCAGGAAGCTGCATAGGACGCCCTGATCTGGTCTAGCTCACCAACCAAGGTAGTCATTGAGATGTGGTCGCTGCGCAGATAAGAGTTCCGCAAAGCTGCACGGCCATACGGCGTGCCCGCCAACTGCAACGAGGTGCAAGCGTCGTCCCCCCGTCTCCAATGGGCATTTGTAGACCCAACTCCACCATTCTTGTCGACTGAGTGGTGCTCACAACAACAGGGAGGAAGTCAAACTGACGGACCAACCCAGACTTTCGGAGCCGTATATAAGTGAACACAATTCAAAAGGCTAGATTGGCGAATGTACATAGTGGGTCCTTTGCGCCCACTTATATGTGGGAACGCACGATCACATGAAGAAAAGCAGTTTGTGTCAAGCAGTATAAAGGAATGTGTTGGGAATCAGGCCGGCCGGAGTCCCCTACTTATCTCGATTAGCTGCATGGCATCGCCGATCCGGTTCAAAAAACTAATAATTTGAGTATTAGCTAGCTGATTCTTTGGACAGACAGAGACGAAGTATATGCGCGGTTCGATTTTGGCCAAAAAGAATGTCTTGTGAATTTTTGGATCAAAGAAGGTAAGGATCCGTCGCGGCTGCTCTGAGGCATCTAAGCTCAAAACAGAGCATATTTTCGTCATTATAACGGAGACATCGTCGGCTGGAAAAGGGTGGGCCTCCTGAAAACAAAAAGAAAGCGTTCAGTCATTCACTCGTATTAACACAAAGAGAAACATAGTTTGAGCCACAATCAGGAAAAGATAGCTGAAACAGCTGTAACGTGAAACGTGTAGTCGGCAGGCACGCTGACAGAAAAACGGACGCGAACAGTTCCCCAGGCAACTACTTTTCACTATCCCCAATTGCTAATCCACCAGGAAATACCCGGAAACCCTATAGATTAGTCACCGGAATTCAGTTTTGGTCGAAAAATGAAGTTTAATGATGAGTGATTCACAGTGAGTGAGATCAAACTGGGATGACGAAATCGGCTGCACGCTTCGGGCAGTCGGAACCGGTTTTGCTCGGACAGACAGGGTTAAACACAAGGCGAAGGTCGCCCTCAGAAGTTCAAGTTCAGAAAGCATACTTTACTAGTAATGGGGGATTTGACACGGATCGCAGACCAGTAAACTTCAGTCTCGTTGAGAGAGGACAAGAGTCTTTGATGGTTTGACGACTGCTCAGTCTGACAACGATAGTAACAGGCACAAACGACTATCTGCGCGACCAGAAGGACTGATCGTTCGTCCATTATATTTGATAGTCGGCACCAATGCCCTGGGAAGGCGTAAGGCAATTACACATAAATTTGTTTATAATGAAGTACAGACTAAAAGCAACTGCTGTCATCTCACCGCCTTCGATTTTAAAGGCAAGAAAAAGTCGAGGTGGTTCGGGGTGGGTGTCGACGCGGTGGCTGACGAACTCAACCCGAAATCTGCGCGTGCCACACACGTATTGAGTCCTGCACACAAAGTAGCTAGGCTAGAAGAAGAGTCCTAATGCACGCCACATTAACAGCAACCGTAGCTTGGTCCTCAATCCGGTGAGGTGCAGTTACCTCGTCAGTTGGCACCCATCCAGCCGCGACCTTTAATGTGTCGTGATAGTTTAAAGTGCGTCACCGTCTAAAACGAAAGACTGCATATGTTTGAGGAAAGTTGTCTGATGGTCGACCTCACATTCTCCGTCACATCGTCGACCATTAGTGAGTTTGAGTCAATCCGACTGAGGATAATAGCATCGGGCGCACACATCTGTTGGATCCTATTTGGGTCTAACAACGTCGCGGTCTGTTTTTTGGGGCAGGAGAAACCATCCTAGTAGGCTCATCTCAGTCAGTACTTCGTCTCTTGAAACCAATAAAAATAACCTTTGCACAGGGAGGCGGCGATGACTCGCCCAGTGCTGACTCCCTATCCGTTCCCACCTACTGTATTCTGATTGGAAGGAAAAGTCAACACGATCGAAGATGGACGTGGGCGCAGTGGCCTACGTGGCTGTTACCCAACATTCATGAACTTTAATTCGAGAACTCAGATCTCGAATTGGTGACAATTGCCATGAAGGCGGCTACAACCTCTGGGGCCGGAAGAGAACTGAGTCATCCCCTCAGTTTGCAACACTTCATGTCGCAACTTTTAGCGCGTCGTGGTAATCTAAGAGCACGTCAGAGTTACCAGTGAAATACTCGCATGTTCGGTTTCATTCTCCTTACATCATGTATCAGTGGTCATTTCTAGGCAGGCTAACTAGAGATTAAAGCTGGCCTGGTGTAAAACCACAGCCTCTTCGTCTCTCCTTTAGATCTAAAACAACAGGGTTAAACCCCCATGGTCGTCTATAATCGGGGTGTCCCTCGTAATCTTTTATTTCATAATCCATATGTCAAGGTGTATCAAATGAAAATCCGGCGCCTAGTCTAAGTGCATTGGCAGCCGCCATCAGTTCCGCCTAAGCAGATAGTGTACGCATATACTGTCGGGGATTGCGGTCATTCAGGCACGTCAGTAAAATGCCTCTACTTTGCTCCAATCTAGTTAACCTACCGACGGAAAAGGCAACTGAGAATCGGTCTGCAGAAATTTGCTGGCTTCTTTAAGTAACTCCCTACTGGCGACGTTCGTTTGCATGTGTGATCAGGACTGCGTTGAGAGCATTGTAGTGTTATCCAGGAAGAGAACGTCACCAAGCTTAATGCCATAGCACAGCCCAACGACGGTCAACATTTCATATACATTATATCTCGGTGGATGAGCGTTGAAAGTCAAGCGCCCAATAAGTTTGGATCCCAAGTCAGGGCTGCGAAAGCCCCTAGCCAGAGCAGGCCACGAAGTT